CATTCCCGAGCGTATGCTGGATCTTTGAATTAACTTCAGGTGACTATCTCTAGGATTAGTATCTAAAAGCGAGGAGCCAGGTGTCAGGGGGCCTCTGAGCTTCCAGACTGTTGCCCACCATTAGTTGGAAGGAGCAAGTAGCGCTCTGCTCCTATTTCTGAAGTAGCCCACTTCACCTTCACCCACCCCCCAACCCCCTCTGGAGCCAATGTAAATTCTTTCAAAACAACTTCCATGTTTCTCTGCAAAAACACCATGTATAGAAGTGCTCCTCAACTCCAGGAAGGGCGACACGTTACCTTTGCCACGTGGCCCTGCTTCTGGTGGTGTATGACTTCATGACCCAGGACCTGGTCCTTTCTCTTGCTAGCAATGGCCCGCAAACATTTTTTTTAAGGCCTTCAGCTGCGGAAGTTAAGTTTTGTTTTACAGTGCAAAGATCCTGAGAGAAAGGGGAAAGAACCTTCTGGCTGCCAGAGAAGATCGTGACGGTAACTTGGTCTCCTGGAAGCAGAGAGAAAGAAGGGCGGGGAACAAAGATATGTTTGCATTTGCAAAGAATCACTGACTTTTCAGTGCAGAGTAGTAACGTGAGGATGAATGTTTGTATCTTGGTAAACGAAAGGGCTGCAACCCAGGACCTTGGGCAATACTCACGGCTATAGGGACAAGTACAGACCGGCTATAGGGACAAGTACAGACCGGCTATAGGGACAAGTACAGACCCCGCTTAATCCGACAGGAACTGCATTTGAATCCATTCTGTTGCCCTGCAAACTTACCACACCCCCTATACTGGCACGGTGACTTCCTAGGGTGTACCCCTAGCTCTCCACTTTTGCTGGCACATGTCCTTGACCTGGAATCTCCACCCCTCTGTTCTTTAACTTAAATCTAAGCCACCTCTTCTCTTGCTGCTCAGTTCAAGCCTCACCTCCCCTAAGCACATGTGTCCACACTATCGATGTTTGTTTAGCATGGGTAAATCACTGTCTTCTACTGTTCTAATTAATATGCATTTCTTAACATATATACCCTGTCTCCCCAATTAAAAATGCAACTTCCTTGAGGTCAAGGACCCTGCTGTAAACTTAAGAGATCCCTAAGGCTGATCAGAATATAGCATACTTTGCGGCGAGCAAAGACACCCCCAATCCTGGAGTTATTGGTAGTGGGTTCTGCCTGTATTAATAGCTAATGTTTACTGAGTATTTACAATGTGCAAGATTCGTTCTAAGCACTTAACATCTAGTATCTCATTCAATACTGCTGCTCTCCCCACTTTGCAGAAAAAGAAATGGACGTACAGAGTGCAGGAGTAGCTTTGTCTAAACTCGTCCCCCCCAAGTGGTGGCTGAGAGGATTCAAACTTTGCAAGCAGCCTGACTCGAGTCTGTTTCATCGTACATGAACAGTTCCTATTTAACTCCCAGGCTCTCTCTGACCAGCTGTCAAATACAGGCCCGCACGGAATACTGCTGACTACCAGGAGCACACAGCCAAACAAGATCTCCCTCTAATCCAGCACTTCGAGGAACAGATGGTCCTGTGCAGCAGTAGTCCCCAGGCTTTCTGGCACCAAGGATTGTTTTCTGGAAGCCCAGAATGGGTAGGGGGTAGGGGTAGGACAGGAGGTGGAGCTCAGGTGAGCTTCGCTCCAGGAATCCCCACTGTACGGGATGAACTGAACACGGAATTGCCTAAGGGATGTTTTTCAAGAATGACCTTTTGAAAACTAGGAGGCTGCCTAAAATGCTTTGAAACCATTGGCTGACTAGGAGGGCAATTCCCCCACAAACTGGGGTGTTCAAACAAAATGTACAGGTGAGTTCTAATCTTCAAGAACAGGATGATCTGAGAAGGCAGCCTGGGGCAGGTGGCAGGGTTTCAACGTGATGGTGTGTCATGGGAGGACCTCGGACCCCGCCTCTCAGTTCCTCACCTGGGAAAAGAAGTCACTGACACCTGCTTCACAGCATTCACAGGAAAAGTAAATAGGGTAGTAGGTGTACAATGTTGTCCCTCATCCATAGTAAATGCTGACTCTCCATTTATCTTTGGTCAGGGACCAAAATTAGCCTTACCTCGCATTTCTCTGCCCGCCAGACCACTGCCTTTGATAGCAATGTAACTAAATCATAGCTATGCCCATGCATTTCCAACGCTCAAAACCTTCCATACCTTTCCACAACCCAAAGGATAAAGTCCAAAATCCCTTAAAATGACCACACCCGCTTTTGCGTCAGTATTCTCCCCACTCCTTTTCTCCTCCTAACATCCAAAACCAGCTTCCAAAGAGCCTGTCTCTCCCCTAACTGTCCTAGTCATCTTTCCCTCCCACGACCCCACAGGCAGATGCTGGACCCCTTAGAATGTGTACCGTATCTAAATGCTATGAGGTTTGTTGAATGCAGTTCTAATCTCTCCACTAAAAGATGAACTTCCTAAAGGTAAGTGTTTGGGTCTTTATCATATCTGCCATAGCACCCAATGCTTCATGCATGGCAATAAGAAGAGCTAATATTTAAGGATGCTGGCACTATTTTAAAGTGCCTCACGTGCACATATAAACTCATTTAATTGTCACAACAACCTTATGGGTGTAGGTACTATTATTTTCATCATTTAAAAATAATAGTACCTATACCTGTAAGATCAGGAAACTAAGATGCAAAGAGGTTAAGTAACGTGCCCAAGGTTATACTACCAGGGAGTGATAGAGCCTGCGTCCGGACCCAAGCAATCAGGCTGCAGAACCACATTCTTAACCACTACATGCTACTGTCACCGTCCCATCAGTCACATTACCCAACAGTCAACGCGCTCTGAAAACTATGAAGGACGATAAGCCACCACAAAACCAACACATGGAAACAAAGTAGGTCTCTGGTGTCTCTAAGGAAGGGGAGGAGGCATGAACGCATGAAGGTTAAGTTTAGAATCAGACCAGCTCTGTTATTTTCTAGCTGAGGGACTTTGAACAAGTCACTTAACCTTATTCAGCTTCAGGCTCTGCATCTGAAAAATTAAAACTAATTTTTAGGATGGTTGTGAGAATTAAATATATGATGCCAAAAGAGTCAAACCTGTGAAACCCAGGCAATTTTCTTTGCCAAACTATTAAACAATTATAAAATGTATTATGTGGTAATGGTAAAGATGCAGTTCTTCGTTTCTTTGCAACCATATGCTAACAGTACTGGAGTAATTTTTCTTCATACCCCAATGCTGTAAATATCAAGTAACTTTAATTATCGCTAATGAAACAGAGTCCTGCCTCCGGGCAGCAGTTGAAGAACTTTTAACTCCTTAAGCCAATATAAAGAAATATAAAAAGTAAAGAGTCAGCAGCGGGAATGGCTTCAGGGTCAAGTACTGACAAATGGGAGTGTGTCCCCTTGTCTGGGTGTTTGGAAAGCATGCCACAGAGCGCAGGGCTGAAGAAAGTACAGCTGTTTAATGTAAAAAGAACTCAGACACCAACAACTGTTGAAAATTCAACGTAGGTCCAGAGAGCTGAATTAGGTACAACAGGTGGATATTCCTGGGAGAGGAGTTTCAGCTCCAGTTCGAGGAAGCAGGACGAGAATAGGCTCCCCTGTGCCTTGGCGAGCCCATACATGAAGCTGCTCAGGCACCAGCCACGAGATAAGGACCAGAGGGAGTTCTCTTCCTGGCCGCTAAGTCCAACCGACCTACTCTTGTAACGGGGCACAGCCAGGGCCCGCAACCCCCCCCCCCGCCCCCCGCAAAGGGTATTTGTAACGGAGTCCAGAGATTGGGGCGTCCAAGGAAAATATATTCTCCCCACCCCAGGGCGGGCTGCCATGGGGGATGGGAGCCTTGAGAAGGGCCACTGAGAGTCATTTTGTACGTCAGTAACAGAATAGCTTCATTCCTCATATGCAAAGAGGGTTATTTTGCATATCACCAAAGCTAATCTGGAAGGTTTAAAAGACTTAATATAGAATGTAACTGGGAGAAAGAGGAGAGACAGGGGCCTGCAGGAGAAAGAGACAGACTCTGGGGAACAGTGTGAAGACCATGCGGGAAGAAAGAGGGGAGAAAGGACTCTTGCTAGTGGGCCATGAGAAGGTGCCACGCGGTTATGGACTAAGAGCTGGAGATGGCCGCGACGCAGCGCACGGTGCTGAGACCCGCGAGGCACCTGCCTAGTCGAGCCCCAGACTTCTGTTCTTTTTTTTTCTACCCCTGACTGGCCTAACTGGGCAAAGGGGGCGGAGGGGGGGGAGGCAGGACGATGTGTGTGATGGTGATTGTTTTAAAGGGATTTTGAGGTTCAAGGGTGACATTTAGCCATTAATCAAACCTGTGTAACTTTTGAATAAATAGTTCCTCTCCTTTTCACCAAAATCTGCCATTCAGAGCCATAATTCCAAGGGTGGTGGGCAAAGGACCTACAACCGAGGGACCCCAGGGAAGGGGGGTGTCACTGTTTCTGTAATAGCATCTGGGCATCTCCCCTCTTCGCCCGGCCATTTGTTCGGTAACACTCTGAGGTCCCTCCCTAATTATGCCGCACGACCGTGGAAGAGAGGGAGGACAGTGAAACACTCTGTTCGGAACTGAGCTCGGACTGTTAAAATATTTTTAGTCTTTTTTTTTTTAAGGGGAGGGGGCATGAAATATAACCTTTGGGTAAAGGTGGCATCGGAGAAGTGGCATCTCTGCAAAATATCTCCAAAGATCCGAGACTCGGTGGCTCCCCCGGCCCAATAATAGTCTGCAAAGGACACCTTGCAGGGGTGACTCTCCGACACCACGCAAGGTGCTTGCTCAGCAAAGAAGCTTCTAGGCCAGCCCGTAGCCCCCTTCTCACCAGCCGCCACTTCCAACCCGCCTTACATAAGCGGAGGTCGGGAGGGGTCGACGTGCGGTGATAGACCCCGCGAACGGATAGGCGCCTCTGTCCTTAGAAGACTGTCGCCGGGGCCAAGGTTGTCCCGGGCTCCCAGTACGCCCTCTGCCAGCGCACTCACCAGCGCTCTGCTGCGCAGCAGCTGAGCCATCGCTCTCTCCATCTGGGCCGCAGGCAGTATCGGGTTGCAGAGCGAAAGCTATTTCTCCTTTAAATCTCCAGACCGCTGGGTAGCGCCCGGTAGTAGTGGACCCAGGACCACGCCCACTTTGTGCCCACACCCGTACCCGCCTACTAGCACCCTCTGACCACACCCCCTCGTGCCTACGGAACCCCAAGGAAGACATAAGCCCCTTTCCGCTTCCGCGGTACTCCTTGCTCACGCGATACTTGGGGAAGGTAGTGGGGCGGGAAGGCTGCCGAAGACGTGCCAAACATGGCGGCGGCGGCGGCGGCGGCGCTGGTGACGGAGGCGGCGGCGGCGGCGGCGACGGCGACGGCGACGGCAGCGGCGTTGTATAAGGCCGTGGGCGTGACCCGCTGCGGTTGTCAGGTGAGTAGCATCTGCCGTCCGAGCCGGTAGCCACGCGGCTAAGCACGACGGTTAAGAAGGAGCTGCGGGATGCGAGAGCTGGAGTCGCGGCTGACCGGCTGACCCCGCCCGGGACTCTGCTCTGGCGGAGGGAAGGGCGTGGTCGATTGGTCCCTAGGGTCACGACCTGGGACCTTCCAGGCCCAAGTGCGGGCGATGCGGTGCCTGTGACCGCGGCAGTCCCGAGTCAGCGGCGCCGTCGGGCAGGGGCTCGCAGGATCCGGGGTCGGGAGCGGGAGCTGCCTCGGGCTCTGACAGGTGGTCGTGCCGGGGGCGCCCCGCACTTTGCCTCTTTGCGGGTTCCAGGGCCTGGGGGTCAGGCAAGGCGCCGGTCTCCCAGGTGTGCCGAATCCTGATGAGGATGCTGCCCCGACGCCAGTCCGGGGAGACTTGCTGGGAGGACTTTTCAAAGCGCCGTCTTTTGTTGCTGTTCCTGCTCGGGTCCGTTTTTACTGCTTGTGCCCTCTAATTCTGGGGAGGTGTGAGGGTTGGGGAGGACTTTGCAGCAAAGAACTCTTGAGGTTCATGCAGGGTTTAAGTCACTTAATAAACTGGAGTGCGAGTAGCCAAGTCATGCACCTTGTAAGTGCTCGGTAACAATATTCCGAATTGAAGTTAAATCAGTTCCAGCTGCCACCAAACACTGGCCCATTCACTGTCCCCTTAATGGGCTGTTCAGAATCCAAGAGTAGTGACAAGCGGGAGATGAAATAAATAAAGGCGCTTTAAATTATGAGATCTAAAGAAATTAGGAGAAACAAAACTTCAAGCCACCTTTAAAAACATCTAGACTGACAATTTTAAATTCCATTTAGGTTTATTTATATCGTGCTTTCACCGCAGCTACAGATTTATAGTCTTGGGAATTCATTACAGCGAATTAAGGCGTTAGGTGTTTTTTGACCCTGGGGGTCCAATGTTTCCCACAAAACCCTAAGTGTTTTGGTTGCCATAGAGGGGGGAAAACGGTGGGAATCCAGGTGTGCCCTTACCAGGTATGCCTGGTAGGGCTTTTTAAAAACCTTGTCCCACAAATTTCCCCCCTAACGCATTGTTTTTATGCAACCACAGGTGTTCAGCTACTAGTAAGGCTGACCTTTTTAGAAGTATACTATAGACAAATGAAATTAGCAACTTGAATTTAGAATGACATTAAATATTTTGCCAAAAAGGAAGTCTTATGAGAGCCGCCTGGTGGGGGAAAAAAAAAAAAAAAAGTTACACTAGTGCATGTTCTTTGGTGATTCTTTGAAGCTTTTGTTGAAGTGAATCTGTTTTGTTCTTTGATTATGTGTTAGCTTTATTTTCTGGTAATGGGAAAATTGGCACAAGGTATTTTATGAGCTTATTAAACTGGTAGGAGCTAAATTTTTATCATAAAAGTTTTGATCTGTGGTGTGTTTTTCTTTGCAGACCTTTGTGTGGCTTTTCAATTTTAGTTGAGATCCCCTCCATGGCCTTTTGGCGCCCCTTGGTGTGTCTCCAGAGTAAATTTGAATTACTCTACATTTCATCGATGTTGGAGTGGCAAGAAAAAGGAGGAACTGATTTGGGGTGAAAAGGTTAGATTGTGTGACTCTGCTTTTGGATTTCTTCTAACTTGTATTTATTTATGTTTTACTTTTATGTTTTCTGATTTCCCAGAGCCTGATAATGTCCCTTTCTGCCGTCAAGAATTTGTTTTCTGACAGTTCTGTAATCAGAGGAAATGTGTTTTAATTCTCTTTTGAAGGTCCTTTTATTCCCTGCAAACCAAACCTCATTTGTCAGACTTCTGCCGTGGATGTGTGCTCTGCGGCAGAATAACTCTTTCAGTGACCCTAATTACTTGTCTAAGCAAGGAAACACATCTATTGAGCTGCAATCACTTTATATGTGTGTGCCTACCTAACTCCCAAATTAAGTTATTGTATAAGTAAGTTAGCTGTTAAGTATTCTACTTCATGATCAGAAACCCTTCTCAAAAATGTTGGGTGAATAAAATAGATTCTACTCTTCCCTAATCATGTTTTCTCAGAATTCTCCCATAGCTTAGAAAAAAAGGTAGACTTTGGAAGGAATGTAGGGTAAAGAGCCTCTCCTGGTTCTTATATTACCTCTGTTTCGCTGTTGTGGTTGTCTCCTAATTTGCATCGTGATGCCTCTGTATTGTTAGCTACTGGTTGGGGAGGGCGGGGTGGTGGGGGTGTGTGTGTACAGGGTCCAGCAGCAGTCACACCTGCTTGAGTTGTGGTTGGTAGGGTAATAATATGGGTGTACTAATTTATAGTTGTAATTTGAACATTTCACCAAAAATGTTGTATGGTGTGCTGGAGTGTGATATTATGTTACAGAATTACATGCTAATGATTTTGTAGTAAAAAAGGGGCATTATTTGTGCCAGACCCTGTATTGATCAAAAACTTCCCATTTATATGAGACTGAAGAAGATTGGAGGACATCATACAAATAAATCCTTTATCATAATAAAAAAAGGTCAGAGAATCATTATGGTTGCCTGCTTAAAGCTAAAAAGGTCTTCATATTCTTTTGGGATAGCAAAGCTTATTTCTCAAATATGTCTGTCATTCACTAGGGTGAGTAGCCTCTGATTGTTTTGTTAAGAACCTTATTTTTGAATGGATAATTTGAGAGAAGCTATTGACATAAAAATTATTGAGGTATATTCTAGTCAGTTTCTATATAGACAGGTACCAATATGTCATGGCATAACCCAGTTTAACTTTAATCAGACTATTCACAGGGAGGACTTAAAAGTTTGCTGTATCATAGCTCACAAAGTATGGGAAAAATTCTTCTCTTTGGTTGATACAATTAGATGTCAGTTACGGAAAGAGTAGATCAGGCTGGAATATACCACCCAAATCTATAGTAAAAGCGGAGAATTCTTAAATACATTTCTTTTTCTGATGACATAATTTTACACATTGATACCCTGGGTACTTTTTTGGCTAATAAGCTCCAAGGTGTTGAATTCATGGTTAGCAGGAAAGATACTTTCAATAAGAACATTATAGTTTTCTGATTTCCAAAGTAGGTTTTTATGTTATTTTTGTAAATGTTTTAAAACTTATTAGTATATTAGAAGCACTTCCAGATAGCAGTTAACCTGTGGGGTTCTTAGATTAAATTTTTAGTCCTGAGGCTGTTGGTCATTTTATTAAAGACAGAAAGATAGTTTGGATATAAAACCTGTATTTTCTTTAAATATCAGAAAACTTCTGTTTTTTCCAAATTATTGTTTATTGTCTATTTATTGGACTTAGATACACTGACTTGAGCTGGAGAAACTTGGGTCTGGAATCAGGCACCACTCAGACTTGGCACCTTCCAATCGTAGCTGATTGTTGCAGGGACCGGAGCAGTGTGAGGGCCTGTCATGCTGCGTGCGTGCGTGCGTGCGTGCGTGCGTGTGTGTGTTGGAGGGAGAGGGGATGGGGGGACATGATGGAGGTCTAAGGTTATAGGCCATATCAATCCATTTAAAACTCTTAATTTAAAATTGTTTTCTTTCATGTTTACAATATTATTTTCCTTTTTTCCATTGGCATCCCTTGTTTTTCAATTTTTTTAAAGCCCATCATGCATCATGATTGAAAATCAGCACACAGTTTATGACAGGGAACACAGTGAAATTTATAATGTGACAGTGTGATAACAGCCAAGACTCAAAATTTGCCAACCGCCCTCTGTAATTAGGCATATTTGTGTTCTTCAGCCTTGAGATGCTTGTATAAAAGTCATTTTCTTTTGCTTTCGTCCTGGCAATCTTCCGCGTTTTTTCACATTGTTTCCTGTTGTACACCAGCAGTGTTGTGTTTTCTAATCAGGATTTGGTCAGATGTATCTTGCTTATTGAAGTCTGTCAAAGTACTTTCAGACATTTTCCAGTGGAAACATCAGTTTTCATATGAACTGATTGGCTAGAAATGATGCTAAGTTGCGAGGTAAATACCACAGACAAGCGATAGGGCCTTACAGCTTTTACAGTTTATAAAAGTTTTCCAGGTCGTTGTCGTCGTTATCGTCATCATCTTTTTTTAAATCTTTTATCTCCTAGTCATCTCATACCCTTTTTTTTCTTCTCCCTTCCCTTCCTTTTGCCTTTCCCTTTTCTTTTTTATTGTGGGGGCATCTACCTCCAGTACTAGGTTGCATAGCAGTAGCATAATACAATATACAGATGATGTATCATAAAATATTACCCATGAAACTTACATAATTAACCAGTGTGACCCCAATAATTTCAGTAAGAAAATAACAGTAGCAATAGCAAGCATTCTTGTATTGTTCTTAATTCTGAAGGCCATGCATCTAAATTTTCTCCATTAATTGTGATGTAGAGATTTGGAAGATATCCTTTATCAACTTGAAGGTAAAACATTCTAAATTTGAATAAACAATTCCACTGTTGATCTCTTGCACCTTGGGTTGCCATTGGTACCCCGTATCAATCTGATTGTTTTTCTTATGTGGGTGGGCTGCCTTTTCTTTCTAGACAGTGTTGTATAATTTTGTCTTGGAGGTTTTTAAGTTTCACAGTAATGTGTCTTGAGTGTTACCATCATATATTGTTTTACATTCTGTGATCCCATTTAATCTGAAAGAGATCTCTAGTTCTGGAAATTTCTTGATCATTTTTTTTAAAAAAACATTTCTCTTTCCCCCTTTCTGGAACTCATTCTACACCTCTGTCTGCTATATTTCTTACCTTTTTATGCATATGTTTTACAATATTCTCATCCCTCTGTGTTTTGAGTTCTTTTTTCCCTCCTTCAGTTTTACTGATAAATAACCTTATATATTGTTCTTGATCTTATTCTTAATAATCTTTCTCATTGGAGCTGACTATCTGTTTGTTTTTTTCCCTAATCAAAGGGCAAATTTTAAAGGACAAATAATCAGTAGACTCAACTGTAGTCACAAAACAAATAGTAATACAGTATTCTAATGATTAGGAAACAGAGAGCTAGTTCAAGAAGATACCAGGAAGGTGGGGAAAAGCAACTGCACAAACTTTGTGTTTTGTTTTTATATCACCTGAGGATATGTTTATTAATTTTAGAGAGGGGAAGAGAGGCTTGATTCGGCTTATAGGCCAGATGGGGCTCAATACTCGTTCATTTACATATTGTGTATGGCTGCTTTTAGAGGCAGTGACAGAGTTGAGTAGTTTTGACAGAGCCAGCATGACCTGCAAAGCCTAAGCAGTTTACTCTTAGGCCTTTTACAGAAAGGTTTGCCTCTCTCTTCTAAACCATGTTTCTAGAGCACTTGTTCATGTGAACCCTTCAGCTTACGAGCCTTTGCCTCTGTAGCAGCAGTCCCTAGCCATACCTAGCTGTTTCAGTTTAAACTAAGTAAAATTCAAAATCCAGGCCATTGTAGTAGCCACGTTTCAAGTGCCCAGTAGCTACATGCGGCTAGTAGCACCTACCCTGGATCAGGAGGCAGCATGTCCATAATGCAGAAGATCCCGACAGCTCTGTTGAGCTGTGTGGGTTTCTTTACTCTCTCCATTGATAACCCCTGCTGATGTGCCCGTTTCTTTCATCTGGGCTTATTTTCTCTTTTTCTGTCTTTGTAATTTCCTTCCATCCTCTAAGACTTAAGTATGAATCCTAGTTTAAACATTAAATATTTATTATTATATTGTGTATAATATATATTATATCATTATATTTAATATTTATATTATGTATTAATATTTATTACATAATTATTATTCAATACTATTATACTATATATTATAATTTTATACATTATATATATAACATATTATATAGTATTTAATATATTAATGTCTCACCATTCCATGTATATCTTCTCTAGTTCACTGGGAAGATTATACAATATTTAAAGACAGGAAATATGTTCTCTGTTGTTTTGTATAGTGCCTTGCACATAATAATCTTTGTCGCTATTGTTGTTTTAATGTGTACTGGATCTCTGACTAATGTAAAATTATTTCAGTTTTTTTCCCCTAGGTATTACAAACTGTAAACTTAAAATAAAAAGTCAAAGATGGGTGAAAAGAAACCAGAGCCTTTGGACTTCGTGAAAGACTTCCAGGAATACCTGACTCAGCAAACCCATCATGTGAACATGATTTCTGGATCAGTTAGTGGGGACAAAGAAGCAGAGGCTCTTCAGGGAGGTAGACTCATCTTAATACTATTAATAATTCACTTTTTCTAGATAGGTTAATGTTTGTGTGTGGTTCTCCATACTGTGAAGACCATTATTCACTAATGTGAATCATTCCATTTTTTCCTAAAAATATACAGGGCAATTTATTTTCTTTCTTTACACATGTCAGATTTTTGCTGAAATAGAGTGAAATTCCCCAAGGACTTAACATGGTCTAGAGATGCTTTGTGGTCTTGTTGGGAGATTAGGGGCTCTAAATACCATTCCTGTCCTCCACATTCTGTTAACTAACAGTAGACACAAGGAACCCAACAGGTCTAGCATCAGCTTCAACAGAGAAAGGATTCAGACATTAGGAAATGTGCACTAGACCTAAAACAAAATGGAGATTTCCATTTCTTTTTTAAAATGAAGAAAGGGCTGACCATGTCTGCCTGTCTAGGAGGAAACCTGGAAGAGAAGCAGTGACCCACTACAGGCGGGCTGTGTCTGCGTCTCTCTCGTTCACCACACACGCTGGGTTTTGAACCTGGCCCCTCGCTGGGCGGTTAGCGCATTGCAGCCAGTGAGCCCCTCTGGGCTGCCAGCTGTTTGTGCGTGACCTGCAAGCTCAGAGCGGTTTCTACATTGAAAGATGGTTGGAAAAACATCAAAAGAAGAAAAATGTCTCAACATGTGAAAATAACATAAAATTCAAACATCAGCACCCATAAGTAAAATTACATTGAAATATAACTACACTTGCTTGTTTACCTGTTTTCCGTAGCTGCTTTTGGGCCACAACTGCAGGGCTGAGTGGTTGTGATAGAGACCATATGGTCCCCAAAGCCCAAAGTATTTATTTTGTGACCCTTACAGGGAAAGTTGCCCGGCCCCCGAGTTAGGTGGCCAATGGCCTTGTCATCAAGGCACCAGCAGCAGACACCTGGGTGCTTGTTAGAAGTGCAGAGTGGCAGTCCCCACCTCAGAGCTGCTAAACCAGAATCTGTGATTAATACTCACGTCACATTTGGAGAGTCACTGCCTTGGGAATGCGGGGGTGGGGGCGGGGGCCCTGAGCCTTGTGCCTCTGCGTGGTGGTGGCATTATTGCACGTCTGCCCTGCACCACCCTGCAGGCTCACTTCTGGGGGGGCTGTCGCTTGAATTCTTTATGCCGCACGGCTGCCTCCTGGGGTGGACCAGAGGGGCTTGTCCCGTGAAGCCACAGGAATAAAAATTTCCCTCCAGACACTCGTGTACAGCGTGCTGCACTGGGACTCGAGACCAGGGGGTAGTGCCAGCCGGTGGCTGGTTTTCCTGATTATGAGCACTTGTTCTTTCATTTTCCTGATTCAAGGAAGTACTCTGGTTTGGTTAAGAGCAAAGAGCCAAACAAACATGTTTTAGCTCCAAGTCTTACAGTTCTAGCATTGAGAGGAATCAAACATAGTATCTTCCTTCAGGTGCTTTATTAGAATTTTAAGATTGAAAATGCAACCCAGAATCTAGGACAAACAGTAACTGGGTGGAACATCGCAAAACTCGGCATTAATTGGTTTAGGCTAAAGTAAATGGAGTTTGGATTTGGGGGGATATTCATGACTTCCAATTATATTTATAGAAGTGGCTAGACTCTTAAAAACGTGTGTAACTAAGCCATCACCATTTACCTCCCCTCTTCACCTGTCAAATAAGGATGATACGCTGTTCTCTTCTGCAAAACGATGTTGAGGGCTGATAAAATTTGCAAGGAAGCTAAGTAAACTATCATTTTATGAAAGATTTTCTACCACTCAGGACTAAGATGCTATATTGAGTTGATTCTGAGATGCATAATTTCTTTTGCTTTACTTTTTTTTTTTATAGCTGGAACAGATGGTGATCAAAATGGACTTGATCATCCATCTGTTGAAGTTTCCCTGGATGAAAACTCAGGAATGTTAGTAGATGGGTTCGAAAGGACCTTTGATGGGAAGCTCAAGTGTCGCTATTGCAACTATGCCAGCAAAGGAACAGCCCGACTTATTGAACACATCAGAATCCACACAGGTAACAGAGAAAGGGCTGGAGAAGGCCTTTGAGGGCAGGAGAGGGGCCAAGGAGGGCGGGCTAATCTGTCATGTAAGTAGTTCTGATAGGTTAAAAAGGACGGTTGATGTAAGGTCTGACTAAGGGGGGGGGGGGTAACTCCATTTTTACAAAGCAGTCGCATCACAATGTACAATCAGGGAGCAGGGCCCCCTTGGACAGCCCCCGCTTCCTTAACCATCTTTCTCCGGGATCCACATGGTCTCTCAGCATCTGTCTGCTTCTCCGGCTGGGCAGGTTAATGCTGAGGGCAGTGGGAAACGGTAAGATGTTTTTATTTTTATCCTTACTAAGTATGTTTCAGTTGCAGACGGGGAAAAGGTTTCTCTCCTGTTGCAGACTACACTGCCGTTCCTCACATCTCCCCTTGGGTATTCGGTCTGCTGTGAAACCCCCCCTAACTCCACCTCATCCTGGCTCGAGACCAGATCAGATGCCCCTGCTGTGCGCCCCACTCGCTTCCCAAGTGGTGTTGTGGTGGCCTGAAACCTGTTGAGAACCTGTTGAGATGTGTAGTGCCATCTCTGCCCCCAGAGCCCAGCAGAGCATCTGATAGGTAGTAGGTACGCCGTGCTTAATTGTTAAACGAGTGACTCTCCAAGTCTCGTATTGCATTGGTTTCTAAGCCGGCACTCAGTCCGCTGAGCCACGCCAGCCAGGGCTTCATACTCCAGATAATTATTTTATCTATTTGGCCATCTTCAACTAACAGCACTAACTGAAATTGTCCCTTCTGGCAACTGAAGAGGAGAAAGGTAGAGGTGAAGCTGGCAATTTCAAAGGGACACTTCATATAACTCACACTTGGACTAGCAAGCCCATTTCAGTTTTGAACTTTCTATTGGCTATAAGGACTTTTTTAAACAGGTTTTTTGTCTTTTTTCCCCTGAGGAATGGGTATTTGTATGCGTGTAAATATGTATGTGTAAGGGTCATGTATAGATACATACATGAACATGTAACTCTGGGACATACTTTTGGTAAAATTATTATGTAGGGAATATTATCAGTTGTGCTATTTCTGCTTTCCTCAAATGTCAGTTGAAGCCCTAACAATTTTTACACTGTATTGACTAACAGATTATATCTGTATATCTCAAATTGTTGCTGATGAGTCCTGAAGCTTTGTTTGCAGATTTCTTTACAAATTTTAATAATCTTTTGTGCAAATGTGAATTTCTGAAAAGCATTTTGTTTTTGATGAATTTCAAACCTAATGAATGGACAAAACATGGAACTTTACATAAATGAGTTCCTCATGCAATTTTCCCCTATTTTTTCTTTTTAAACAGGTGAAAAACCTCATAGATGTCACTTATGTCCATTTGCATCTGCTTACGAGCGTCACCTGGAAGCCCACATGCGCTCTCACACAGGAGAAAAACCATACAAATGTGAATTATGTTCCTTCCGCTGCAGTGATCGGAGTAACCTGTCCCATCATCGAAGGCGCAAACACAAAATGGTACCAATTAAAGGTACTAGGTCTTCCTTAAGCAGCAAGAAAATGTGGGGGGTTTTACAGAAGAAAACAAGCAATCTGGGCTATAGCAGAAGAGCACTAATCAACTTAAGTCCACCTTCAATGGTGGTTCAGAAGCCAGACTACCTTAATGATTTTACCCACGAAATCTCAAACATTCAGACTGATTCCTATGAAAATATGGCAAAAACCACTTCGACCGGTGGCCTCCCAAGGGACCCCCAAGAACTCCTAGTTGACAACCCTTTAAATCAGCTCTCCACTCTAGCAGGACAGTTGTCCAGTTTGCCACCTGAAAACCAAAACCCCGCATCCCCTGATGTAGTTCCCTGCCCAGACGAGAAGCCTTTCATGATGCAGCAGCCCTCTGCCCAAGCGGTGGTTTCTGCCGTGGCAGCGAGCATTCCTCAGAGCTCCTCTCCGACAAGCCCCGAGCCTCGGCCATCGCATAGTCAGAGGAACTATAGTCCGGTGGCAGGTCCAAGCAGCGAACCCAGCGCCCACACGAGCACACCTAGCATAGGAAATAGCCAGCCAAGTACCCCAGCCCCGACCCTGCCAGTCCAGGACCCGCAGCTCCTCCACCACTGCCAGCACTGCGACATGTACTTTGCTGACAACATTCTTTACACTATTCATATGGGGTGTCATGGGTATGAAAATCCCTTCCAATGTAACATATGTGGATGCAAATGTAAAAACAAATATGATTTTGCCTGTCATTTTGCAAGAGGGCAACATAACCAACACTGATTGGAAACAATCACAGTATGCTTCACTTGGTTTTGCCTTTTTGCATTGTGTAGTTTTGTTTATTGTTTTTGTGGGGGGAAGGAATCCCTAATAAGGTGTATGCTAATTTAAAAGGTTATACATTATATTTATAGAAAACAAATTTGACAATGGAAACAAAATGTTTGCCTTTTTTAAGTAAGTCTGGTCAGGGTCATTTATATATTAGAACAGTTAGACACACTGGTGTCTCTTTTTTGCTTTCATTTAGACATTTGAGAATTGAAGTGCAATCTTAATCTTTAAGTGTTTGTTTATATTTCCCACATTTACGGTCCGCATAAACTTCAAAGCTTATTGATACTCTTGATGTCTCAATATATATGTTGCAGCTAGATGTTATTTCTACCGTATTTCGAAAAAGTAAAATAAATTACTTTCTCACAAAATTTATAACAACTTATTTCAGTGTTTAGTAGAGGAATTGCCTTTAAAATTGCTCTTAGTTGAAATACTATTTAGTTCACATAGTTTAAGTTGAATTAGTAGTATCATTTCAACTGATTATAGTAAAGCTATTTCAGTGTATAGTAAACCTTTCCTTTTCCATAAGGGGAAATGTAAAACAGTTAATTCTTTTAAAATTAAAGTTATAAAAATGTGAGAGAAAAGTTCTGAAAAGAAATGAAACTTAAGGCTTTACATTGAAAATGGAGTTTAATATTTAGAAACCTGTTTATTCAATTTCTAGTTTAAAGACACACCAATTTTCCATTGGATTCTTTTTATTATACTTTTAGCTTATTTTAAAAACCACAGGTAAATACATGAGAATGCTAGAAATACCAGAAGATTATCTATGAAAATGCCTTTTTTGTTCTTTTAATCTGAACTTTCTATTTAAATCCTTCATTCTGATGTTATTACTGACGTCAGGTGAGGTTGATAACGATACTAAGAATCTGTTATTCCTCCTATTCCTTTAATGACCAAAGAGGCACAGTGCAAACCATCCATTTGACTCCTAGGAAACGCAGTCCTTAAGAAAAAAATCTCTGAAGTTCTTTTTCCTGCTTTGTATCCATTTGTTGTCCATTATTTCCTCCAAAAAGGTGAGTATAGAAACACATGGAGAAATGTGATGGTGAAGTAATATTTTAAAAAATGAGAACATATATCCACAAAATGAATACCGGTCTCCGCTTTGAAATTGGCCATTTAAAATATTTCATGTGAATTCAAGTTGTAATACTTATATTCAGTTTTACCAGTCTTTCCTGTACAGTGACAAAACTATAGGGAAACTGACTGGATCATCACCTTAGTAGGAAAAGATTTTAAAATGTGAAAATAGATACAAACTGCATTTAAACATGATATTTAATTTGTTTACAAAAGTAAGACTTGCTAAATAAAATAAATCTAGAGTAATTTTGAATAGGAGGCTATTGTTTATATATTGTGTAATAACTAGCTTACTCTGAGGAGAGCTTGGTCAAAAACAATAAAATACATTGTTACTAACTGTTGGTTTCTGTGTACTTTGCAAAAATTTTATTTTTAATTTGGTTCAAAGTTTGAAAGTGTTACTAATTGGCTTTGTAAAGAGAATGTCCTAACAATGAAGCATTTATTAACCATAAAGGACCACTACTCTAAATAAGAGTAAATAAAAGAGAAATATTGATGGTATATGTCTATAAAAACTCCTAAGTACCAAGTTAATGGATCTTCTGCCCTCCCAAATGCCATAAAGCCATAAAAATGAGTTCTTGTGGTTTAGTATCCAACCTGAACTAATCGCAATTGCATTGTTCAAAGAAGTGGGATTTTGGAGAGTGTGTCCCTCCAAGCGGTCTCTCTTTCCTGTCAAGGCCAAGGCTTTCACGTCTGAAATTCCACAGGCCTCCTTTGCACTGCTGCTTAAATTGCTCGCTGCTCAGATCAGTTTTAGGGCGGCCATCTTCAAATGTGTGACTTGATCCCAGTATTTATTTATTGCCAGAAAGAAAGAGGTTGCTGTCATTTGGAAGCTTTTATTTTTTTACCTCTCACTTTTATTCTTCAAATAACAGCAATACCCAAAATAGAAACTGAAAGTTTTCATTAAACAAAAGGAAGAGCTCATGTAAAACCAGTTCATTAATTATATTCTGGGCCAGATAGTGACCGATAATGTTTTTTTATTGACAACTAAATATAGATGTTTTGAAGATGCATTTTGAACATAGACTTTTTTTCATAATTACAAACTAGAATGTATAATTCTAATTTTCCTATGACTTACAAGAGCACAGTTGGTATTCCAAAGGTGATGCTCGAAAGCTACAATTACTTATAAATGCACTAAAGTTTTTGAAGCAAATCTACCTTAGAAATTTTTTTAGTATTGTATTTTTAAAAAGATTGAGGATTTTACTTAAATCTTCTGTGAGTTAAATGTATCTTCCATTAAGTATTGAATATATTTATCCCATTTTATTTTTAATCAACTATTTTATAGAAATGAGTTGGGAAAAGTTTAACATGCAATATTTTATGTATTTTGCTGTTAACAGGCAGTGTTCTGAAATTAAATTTATTTTTGTTCAGTGAACATAAGTTTAGAATTAAAATTGGTAAGATAATTTATCTCCACTAATATATTTTTAAGAAACTGTGACACATTAATAGGGAATAACTTTATTTCAGATTATACTAATGTAGTATGTAGCTCAACTTCTTGAAATTCAAGTAAAGGCTAGACTTTTACTTTGAAAAAGTTCCATTGGATATTTTCCAGTGCTATTTCATTTTAGAAATGTGTTTGCCATTCATCTGCGGAATCATTTGACAAAGGGAATATTACTTAAAAAATGTTGAGATAAACCTCATTTTAAGTTCTACAAAAATATTTATCAATGGACGTATTATTTTTAAAAAAATCCCCTGCTAAGGATTTTTTTTCATTAAATAGTCTTAGAGGGTATATGATTTCTAGAACTTGTTTTGTCAATATGTAATTTGATGTAAAGAACATATTTTGTATGCAAAACAAATCGAGTATGGCTGCAAAAACTATATTGTTTAGGGATTCCAGAGAGAGATTTAATGCTGAAATAACCATACCTAGTATGTAGTTCATATTGTGAAAGAAACTTTGCTTTTGTAATATATGAATAAAAAAATAACACTTTCTAATGATTTCGATTTTTTTCTTTTTTGAGAACAAGGATCCAATTAGTTCTTTTTGGTAACTTGCCAGTATGTAAAATGTTAATTAAGAGAAAAAGGTTTTATTGGCAACATTCATTTGAATTTGTAGAATGCCTTACCCCTGAGAAGATCTGTCACGGGAGTTAAAATCAGCTGCATACATCCCTGTTTTGTCTCCTTTCTAGTTTCTTCGCTTTGTTTAAGGTCTGTGTGCTGTGACTCCAGCCCCTCCCCTCCCCACGGCTCCGGCGCAGAGGGCCGCCTCTGTCGCTTGCCTCTCCACAGCGCATCTGACAAGTGACTGATGTAATTTCTGTTATGGCAAATGGATCTTTTAGAATGACTGATTTTTATAAAAAATAAGCCTTTGGCAATTCATTTCGTTAGCCTAGAAAACATTCAGTAACAAAATTTCTGTAATCAGTTTGTAAAATCTTAACCAAAATCAGACATTTGATTGGAAATTCAGAATTTTAAATGCTGTTTCGAAAAATACTTCTGCACAATGCGATCTTTCTCATAATGAAAAAAAGAAATAACATCTGATAATTCAGTAGTTTGTTTAAAGCACAGATATTTTTTGTTTCCTTGTCTTAGGTCTTCCAAAAACTCTGCTTTGAGCTTGTTAAGTTCTTCTGCTAGAAGCTTCAAGTTGTAAGGAGGCACTTGTTCATCTAAAATCAAGATATTCTCGAATTATTTGTAAATTAAATCAAGCTGGGCTGTCTGATGACATTGGGAAATTAATTTGATTACTTTGAACAAACCAGTCAGATTCTCATATAAATAAACAATCGAGTTGGTATAATATATGGACAAAAGGTCACGTTAATGTGATACAACAAATAATTGAAATAACGTGCTATGAAATTTCCTGAGCAAAAAAAATGAGTCTGAAAGGATTGTTTTTGTTGTTAGCAAGGGAGTTGACTCAACATTCTTGAACTAACAGGTAGCGAGGCCAAAAAACAGAGCTAGCAAATGACAGTTTGGAAACGGATATGACCTGCCACATTTGTCCGATACAACTTTCTGCAATGAAGAGCGTATCCTGTATCTACCCTGTTCAACCCAGCAGCCACCAGGCGGCCATGTGGGCACTGAGACCAGAACTGAATTGTCTTGTTAACCAGCTTTCTGGAGAGGTAATTCACATAGCATACAATTTATCCATTTAAACTACAACACATATTTATACCTGTCACCAAAATTTTACAGCATTTCATCATCTTTGGCTGCCCCTTCTACTCCATCCCTTCCACCCCTTCCCATCCCTAAGCAACCACTAATCTACCCTGTGGCTAGATTTCCCTGTTCTGACATTTCACCTGACTGGACTCATGTGGCCTGTTGATGGCTTCTTTCATTTTGCATAATTTTCAAGGTTCACCCACGTTGTACCCTATGGATGCTTCATTCCTTCCTACAGCCGTATAATCCATGTTACGTATACACCACATCAGCTGATGGGCATTTGGGTTGCTTGCACCTTCTGGCTATTATGGATAATGCTGCTATAAACATTTGTGCACCAAGTTTTGTATGAACATGTTTCATGTCTCTTGAGTACGTGCTTAGGAGTGGAAGTGCTGGGTCCCACGTAACCCTGCACTGCTGGGCTGTTTTCCAAAGCAGCTGCACCATTTTACATTCCCTCCAGCAAAGTGTAAGGGCTCTGGTTTCACCACATCCTCAGCAACACTTACACTTTTTGGTTCTAGGTGTCCCAGGGTGTGTGCAGTGGTATCTTTGTGGTTTGATTTGCATTTCCCTGATGACTAAGCTTGTTTTCACAAAATATAACCACCCAACCTACCTTTTGCTTCCTTCATCGTCTGAGAGACAATCCTTCGCAGTGTCTGATCAGCTTGATGAAGAATGTTAGTTGAACAAATAATTCTGTCTGTTTCCTGTGTAACATAAAGGTTGTTTTTAGAACAGTTACATAGTTTTACAAAAGACATGCCTAGTATGCAGGTGTTTTATTTGAAAAGACTAAGAGAAAAGCTGAAGTGGCTTCTCTGTTCGTTATTCGTCCCCAAGAGGAGGTTTAAATGAAATACATCCAGTTGTAAACTGGGTTCCATGTGGGCAGAGGGATGCTGGTAAATATCCAATAATGGGTTCTCCAGTAAAAAAAAAAAAAAGCCATCTAGACTGTTTGTCAATCTCTGTGGTGTAACTAGCCGCATCCTTGCCCCTCTTAAGCGATCAGCACCAAGGGCCAGCATTTCTGCACATGACAGCCAGCTGAGCAGCCGCAGAGCTCGGGGTCGGGCTGAGTGCCGGCGACACTGCCGGTGTGCGGAAGCGTCTCACGAGGTGCTCAAGCGTTAGACGCTCGGCTCAGAAAGATCCTCCTACAAAAATCTCCTCCTCATTTATACTAAACCTAAACTGGAAGACTTACCTTTTGTTCCACGTTGTCCTCAACACATTTCACTGGATTTTCCAGAGCAGTAAGCAATAAGTCAGTCACCTTGGGGCTGGAAGGGAAGGTGGAGTAAAACCAGTCATCCCAGCAAACATCTGCTTTTAAAGAACTTGTGTTTATGACACCAAATTGAATTCTAAAGGAGCGAAAGTGCTATAATCCAAGATCCTAAACAAAAGGGGGGAGAAACCAAAATGCTTTAAAAGCTGCCTTCCACTTGGCAAAATTCAAATGTAGAAACTTAAATCACAAGTCCCCAAAAATCCCTCATTTAAAAAAAAGTCTTAAGACATACCAGTCAATAAGCTTTGGAAAGATACTGTCTTTTCCCTCATTAAGTGTTGAACTTGAGGCTACCAGAACTCTCATTCCCTAAAGGAAGGTGCTCAGTCTTCACTTTCTAACTTCCGCTCATTTACTACACGTGGATTAGCCAAGGTCCTCACTTGTCCAGGGCCCATAGGGGATTGAGGTAGAATTCAATCATTCACTTAACAAATACCTACTGAGTATATTATATGAAAAATATTGTACAGCCATGTATGCGAAACTGCTAAGCTGGGGGTGAAGCACGATCCCCCCGGCTTCCAGGAGATTATGTAACGGAGAGAGACATCATAAATTAAGCAAAAAATAATTTCAGACAGTGACAAGTGGCGAGTTAAAAATACAGTGATAATAAGAGTGGGTCATCTAACTACATTCTTCAGGGCTAGTTAGGATGGTCAGGGAAGCCACTTAAGCATAAATATTGGGGAAGGGTAGAGGGAACAGCAAGTACAAAGTCTCCAAGGCAAGAGCAAGCTTGTGTTCGTGCAACAGAGGTGGCTGGTTTGGCTGAAAAGTAGCAAAGGGAGAGAGGCAAGCTGGGAGGTTGGGGAGTTAATCGGGGTTAGAACATGTAGGCTCTGATGGGGAGCTTGGATTTGACTCAGAATGCAAGGGGTAGCCCTGAAAAAAAAAACTAAGGCGGTGAACTCACCAAGTTAAATCTCAATTTCAAGAGGATCTCCCTTACTGAAAAGAACTGCCACTTGCTCTCTGGGCGGTGAGCGTGCTTGCTGGGCCTCAGCTCTGCCATCTGGGAAGGGGAGAGAGCTGTATGTACCCTCAGAGGGTGGCTGTGAGGATGAAACGAGGCTGTACATAGAGTGTGTTCAGAGCCTGTCCATCCACAGCACCTGCTCAGCCGCTGTTGCTGCCAGAGGGGTGGTAGGATTTCACAGAAGCCTAGGAAGGAGACACCTGTCAGGCCACCTTTCCAATAGAGGGCCACCAGGCTTCAGCCTGATCAGGCATGCCGTGCCTGTTCTGGACCGGCGAGAACAGGCGGCCAGGTTCTCAAGGCCCGAGACAAACTGCAGATGGCGCTAAGGATTGAACAGGCAACAGAGAAGCCCACACTCCTGCTTCCAGCAAGAACCGGTGCCGGTGCCGACTGAAAGCACTGACGATAACCTGTGCCGCTCTCGCGGGACACCTCGACGTGTCACGCAGCCGTGCGCTGCCGAAGGGAAAATTTTCAGTACTCCAAAATGAGCAGCAAGCAATCGGTTATGTGCTTGCTCAAGGTTTCAGGGTATTATGAGAAGTTAAAATCAGCAACCTCAGCAATGGCTTATTTTGCAAACCCTATAAACAACAGTCACTTAAATCCAACTTTTTAATTATGTTAAAATATATATTATAATATACATGGAAACTGTGTCCTGGGAACTAATCATTTTGAAGAATGAGTTGTAAAAAAATTAGCCTTTAAAAACTGCTGATCCCCTACGGACGACAGGCGGGAGCTAAGGAAATGTGGACAATAAACCTCTAGAACTGCACCATCTGATAGAAGAACCAGTAGCCACATGAGGCTACTTAAGTTTAAAGTAATTAAAATTTAAAATTCAGGTCATCAGTTGCACTGGCTATATTTCATCTGCTCAATGGTCACATGTGGCTGGCAGCTACCATACTGGACAGTGCAAATGTAGAGAATTTCATCAGTGAAACAGTGAAATTTCTATTAGAAATGCACTGTTCTAGAACTCTCAAGGCATGTATTATGAATGAAATGCATTAGACACCACAGCCACAAGCCTTACCTATACACAAGCAGTAAAATTAGAGCGAGGTCTAAGGCAAAATTAGGATTCGGTATCCGTTCCACTCTTTTTCTTTTTCTAAGAGAACTCCTGGGCAACGTATTTAGCTTAGTCTGCCATTTCAGCAAGAGTGTCAAAGATGTGTCCTACTCTGAATCCCTGCTCTGACTTCTGAGACACCAGGATCTTCACTAGGGCACACATTTGCAAACAAACTTAGGTTCAAATCTCAGCTGTCACAAGCTCGGTGACTCAGGGCAAACTAAACTTTCTCGCTTGGTTTCCTCTAACACAAAGGGGGAAATGACAATATCTCTCCAAGGCCTGTGTGAGGATCAGCCCAGTGGGTATACTGCAAGTAAAGCATTCAACACAGTGTCTGCCTCAGGGAGACACCAGGGGAGGATGGCTTTGAGTAGGATACCTGGCCTCGGAGGGGCATGCTGGACTCTGAACGGTGAGGCTGTTGTGTTCCCAAGCATTTTTCCCAGGGCTCGGCTCTTCTATCTTTCTCGCCATCAGTTGGATGGTTTCGGCAGGCAGCGCCCGAGGTCTCTGGCCATTCCTCTGCAAACAGGTCTCGAGAGAACAATCTATAAAGAGCTGGCAAAAGCCTAATGAATCTGAAAACAATTTGAAACCACAAAAATTACTGGTATATTACCTTCCAAAATGTGAAATAAACATATTAGACAAATTATCCCAGGTGCATCAGGGAAAACCATTTGCAATACTGAGCACCTAGCTTTGAAAATTAAGTAAATTCATATAAACCTCCTAATCCAATTAAATTCTCCCTGAAGACAGTAATGATTTTGATATGCAAATAAATGTGTGGGTGTGTATGAAAAAATGTTTTAATTACATTTCCGAGCCAGTTGGTAGACTTCATATCTCATACTTTGATAATAAAAGTTGTCATCTAAAATCAAAAACAAAGGTCCAGAAACAGCAGTCTTCGTCAAGAGGTAGCTAGCCTGGGCCTCAAGTGCTGCAGAAGATAGCAGATCTTGATCCTTTAAGCAGGTTATAAAATCTTCCCACATGGCTTCTGTCCTGTTGGCTGGGGCAGACATCTGACACCCATTAATGACAGCCAGCAAGAAGTATTCTATGTACTTCAACAGTTCCTGTCGAAGCAACTTCCACTGGGATGGCTGGAAAAGACCAAAGAATTGCAATTTATAGCAGACTAGGTGGGCTTGCCTCATTGCCACCTGGCCCCATACGAAAACTTCCGCCTGCCATACTGAACCATTTGGCGTTCCCCAAACATAACTTTCTCACGACTCCATGTCCTCCTATAAAATTCCTCATCAATATTAGTCCTCAGTGAATTCTTCTCAGGCTCCGCCTTGCAGAAGGCAGCTCAGGCCCTCCCTTGACTATCACAACACCCTGTTTTGTACCCGTTGGCTCTCCACTCTAGCAGGGTTTACACTGGTTAGATATGTATTTGCACAGCTGTGTGTCCCTGCTAGTCCACTGTACTCCTGGCCTCCAGCAGAGGGTCTGGCTCTAGGAATGCATATTAAATAACTAAATGACTGAATGAGTGAATAAATGAATGAAAAGATGTTACCATCCAGGAGAAAAGAGAAGCCAAAATCAATACCCTGCCAAAATAAGTTAGTCTGACTATGATATAGCAATGCTGGCTTGCCTTTGAAATGAGAAGAGTGGCGGACAGAAAGATCAGCTGAAGAGTCCCTGGATCAGTAGGGAAAGACCTCCGGCTAACACAGGGTGGAAATGAGATGGGGGAAATATAGAGGAAGCTGACTGAAGGGAAGAGAATAAACAGCTTGAAAATACATGTCATCTTACGCTGCTCAAGGGCTATGGAGAGCACTGCCATAGCTATGAGGCCAAACACAAGGACAGGAACTCAGTGCCCCTCTCCTGCCTGCCCCTGCCTTACCGCATCGCCGAGATCAACAGCACATACAACAAAGCCATCAGCAAAACTCTCTAAAAAGGAAACCCACTAAAAAAGGTGAGCTATCCTTCTCACGTGACCAGATGAGTTCCGTGGCCTTTGTCTGTAGGAGAGTGGCCCAGCAACTACAATGATCGATTTCAACTCTCACCTTTCTCCAGAGGGGTGAAAATATGATCATCTAAGTAAATCTGGTGCTGCCAGGGGACTGGCACTGTATTTACCTCATAATTAGCCAAGAATGGGGAAATATATAACTTTGCCGGAACGGTCCAAAATGTTTCCGTACACCAAATGTGCTGTACTTTTGCATACAAATTTGTTGAGTGGAATCACATCATATTTGTATTTTATTTATGGTGAATTCATCTGCACTCGGACACTAAACTACAGATATAGGTATTTAAATTCTTCAGAATATTTCAACCAAAGAGCGTTTGCTGTGGAGCGCGCATGAGATGGGAGGCATGAATCTCCCCGTTCCCTCACCGGTGTCGGTTTTCACGCCCGTCTCCAAGGGGCTGCATCTCACTGCGCTGACAGTGACTTCAGGACTTAAAGAGAAGTTTGTACTTGACAAGTTGGCCCCTAATTACAAGCCCATTCCTTCATGGGATGGTCCACTAAGGAACAGCGATCTTTTCCAATGCTGGCAGAGGCAGGATTACCCTGAGATGAATGAAGATTTGGGGTTCAGGTCCCGTATTTGCACAGCCTCTTTACTGTCGTGGGAGGGACCCTAGCAAATTTATTACTTACCATTTTGTGTTCTTTTTCTTAAATAGAATTTCCCAAATTGTATAAACTTTAAGCCCCACAGAACCTGTATTCGCCGCTGGCTGGATGTTAATGTTGGAACTTTTGAGAGAACAACTTTCCCAAAGGATTTTCAAGAGTATATTTGACTATGGGGATTTTCATCTTGCACGCTGACTTCAGAACCTAACCTATCTTGTAAGACTCCACTGTATAGAATATACAATACATGTATGCCCCAGGAGCCAACTCTTTCCTTGTTAAACGAGCTCCACTTTCCTCGAACGCCAGCATGCCCTCGGTGCCTGAGCTCCATGTCCTACACCAGGTGTCGCCCAGGACCTAGCTCCGTGGGTACATTTCCTTGTGCCGCCGCAGTCTAGGCCCCGCCCCCTCCGTACTGACCAATGGCCGTGCGCTTGCCTCCTCGAGGAACGCGTCCGGCATAACGTCATCATAGGCGACAACGCCGACGGTCCACCCCCGCTCCCGCCGTAGTCGGCGGCTGAGGGCCCGCGCGAAGGTCGACTTTCCAGCCGCGGGCAGGCCGCAGAGGACGCAGAGTCCTAGCCTTCGCGGCCCCTCGCCGCGCGCTCCTCGGGCCTCCCCGCCGGGCTTCATGTAGCGCGGGAGACCGAAGGCCGCTGCGAACGTGATCTCCGGAACCGTCCTCCAACCGCGCGCGCGCAGTCTCCCACCGTCCTACTGCGCCGCCTGGTGCCGCGTTGGAGGAATGGGCGAGTCTTCGGACCCAAAATGATAGCACGTGGTCACCTGAAGCGCTGGGGCTGACGCCTCTGTGAGGCGAATCCTTTAGGCTGGGGAGACCACAACGATGCGTTTCCCAACCCCAGGACTTTTTTTTTTTAAGGGCCAGAGAGTGGAAGTTCATCTTCAGTTAGAATCATCCTACCGAAACTTGCAAGACGTTAGGATCTGTGCCTTCCTCTACCCAGGGAAATCACAGACCGAACCTCTTCCCCCAGCGGGGTATGGAAAGTCAATTACTGGAAACCAAAGAATAGGACGGGAAACAAACAGTCCGAGGGCCGGGCTCTGCTGCCCCTCTTTGATGTGATTGAAAGGTGGAAGGTCAAACTATTAGTGGCGTCCTATCGCTACTAGTGGGCAGCAAGTGTCAGGAAACTAGGGCAGTAAAGGGACATCCCTAGACCTCAATTCCAATGCATTCATGCAGACGACAATAGTGTTAAATAGTAAGTTGTGGAGGGATATAAAACAAATTCCGTGTGGGGATATAGTGTAGAAGAATTGAAGTCAGATTCTAGCTTTCACCTTATTTTAAGGTATGTTTAAGAGGTGAGCAAATGAGGTTAAAACAATGTACACTGGGGAAAAAATGCAACCGATAACTCAATGCTAAATCATATAGCTGGAATCATACTGTATGGACGTACCGTATTTTATTCAATACTCATCTACGTATAAACATTTAGGTTTCCAATATTTTAAAGTTACAAACAATTCTGATGAATAACCTTGGGTGTGTGTCTGTGTGTATATTTCTGTATTTGACATTATCTTCAGTAAATTCATAAAAATACAATTTCCATTTGAATCGTCTGCAAGTTAGCAGACTTCCGAGTTTTCAAAAAATAAAGTTATCCTAAACTGTGAGGCAGAGACTCAGATGTTTCAGATCTTCAACTACTTTTATACTACCTAGTTTTGTGTGTTTGTTTGTTTTTAGTGTTCTTTTGCATTCCCAAAGACTGCTCTGCTCCTGGTATTGTGAGGCTGGAAGCATAAATTACATAAATGTGCTGAAAGCAGGTATTAAGACGTAGAATAATCATCAATCTCACTAATCTGAAGAATCTCTAAAGTGTCCGAGGAAAGAGCAAAGCAGTTCTACTAAGATAAAGGAGGATCCTAATGTCACCAAACTCTGGCTTACAGGAACAATGACAAGACAGATTTCAGTTCTTTGGTTTCTTCAGCTTCCAAAACAACTTTCTTTGAAGAAACTAATTCCTAGAGATTTCCAATGAGCTTTCTGTTTCCTTATTTCCTAACATTGTATTATATGTTTGAAATAATTATAAAGATGTTTAAACAATCACCCTCTTCAACAGTCTAATAAACAAGCCTTTTGTTTTCACACTGTGTAAGTTATTTATTCAACATTCACTTGATGTTTGTTTACCAGATACTGTAGTAAATGCTGGGGATTCACACATAAAAATATTTCCTGGTGTTAAAAAAAAAGCTCAATTTATTTGAGGAAAATGAGAAAAGCAAAACGGCCACAGCACATAAACATAATTAAAATTTTCTTAAAATTAAGAAAATTTACATTGGCTGTTCATATTATGGTCTATATAAAATAAGAGCTATCAAAAGTAAAATTGGTAGAAAGAGATTTTAAAGCTTTCCCTTAACCTGAAATCCAATACTACAACCTATCCCTGGAGGGACATTAACAAGAAAACCTCAAATTTCTATAATTTTGCATAAATACAGGTAATTTTTGTAGGAAATGTGCACTACTCAAAATGCACTAGGAGCATACTATGTTGAATTTGATGGGTTATTTCTCCAGAATGTGCAAGAGCCACAAAAATACAACAAAAAAAGAAACACATCCTATAGCCACGTGGCTTGAATGCTACTTGCCCTCATTATTAACCAAAATAAGAGTTGGTTCACTCAGACCTTAAACAATCTTAAGTCACTGCCAAGATCCCAAGAATGCAGAATAAAACAATTCCATGAAATGAGTCCATTAGGAAAGTTCATTTTAAGCCAAGTATTCTGAAGCTGGAGTGGATTTTTCCATAGATACTGAGTCATTCATGCTGGTTACCTTTTCAATCTATTCTTTTTACTGATTCAAATTAGTGTACATTACTGTAGATCCAAGCAGAACAAAGTTGTTAATCTTTTTTAATTAGGAAGATAAAACCAGTATGTGCCAAAGCTGTTTTCAAGTAGCTCAGCTGGTTAGACCCTTGTCCCAATATGCCTGAGTTGCAGGTTCAGTCCTGGGTCAGGGCACACACAAGAACCAACCAATGAAGGCATAAATAAGTGGGACAGCAAGCCAGTGTTTCTCTCCCTCTAAAGTTAATTTAAAAAATTCTGTGTGGAAAGAGGTTCTGAAACAAAAGTGTTTTAGAACCTATTATAGGACACACATTGTTAGCAGCAAGACATAGATATGGGATTCCTTCCTAATTCAAGACTTAGTGATTTATTGGCTGTAGGCAGAATAAAAGGATAACCTATAGGAGTCTTTAGATTTCTGACTCCTGGTTATTAAGCCTTATATTTAAAAAGTCAAAATCCAACTGATAGTGTTGATCTCACTCTGCAAATGGCAGATTGGTATTTCGGAAAAGCCTATTTTTCTTTGGACTGTCCTAGTATGTTAGTAAGAATAAAAGTTAATGTGTAACCACAGGAAGCAGGACATAGAGGACAGAATTACTGATGTAGACAACCTAGAATGAGTGGAGTATTTTTTAATAAAAACTTAGCAAAAAGGACCTTTACAATTAAGGACTTCGAACTCCAACATTCCACTTTTCTATAATCTTTCTTTTTTCTTTCAAAAGATGAAAAGCTAATGTGCACAAACCTCTTTAGAAAGATGACGGGTGGAGGTAGTGGGACGTCATCTACCTTCCTGTCCCGCAGGGCATCTGCAGAGCCCCACCTGCTCTCACTTTCCCACCCTTCCGGTCCCGGTGTCGAGGGGAGAGCACTGGTTCCTCTTACAGACCCATGTAAAGAAGTACAGGTCAGCGAATCTGGTAGCGTGCAATCAGTCTATTAGCGATCCATTCCCGTGCGAGAGAACGGGCCTCGCGAGGGCGGGGGGCGAAGGCCAGAAGTTCAGGGCAAAGCAGGGCGGCAAAAGCACGGGGGGCTGTAGACCAGGGTGGCCAGCCCCTGGGTGGCCTGCAGCCGGGCAGCCAGAGCGCCAAGAGCGCCCAGAGAACTAGCCCTTTGCTCCGAGGACTTACACAGTTGGTGGATTACAAAAAAGTTACATACTGATTGACAGGTAAATGTGGTGCCAGTTTACCCGGGGGGGACATGACTGCCCAAACTAGGTAGGTGTGGGCAGTACCTCCAGACCCCGTCTGTTCATCTTGTAAAACAGACACATGGGAGGAAGCAGTTAATAAAGTTGGGGCAGTTACCCAAAGTTATTTATGGCCTCTTCTTTGGGCACTATGGGCCCTCTCCTGCATTTCAGACCTTGGGATGAAAGCAGTTTCAAGACCTTCTTTCTCAGATAATGGAAACACTACTTCAAATTTCAAGGACATTCCTCCTTCCTTGCTAACAGAGAGTTTCTTGTGCTGTTGGATTACATGGCAATATTACCAGACCGGGCTCAGGACAGCCGAGTTAGTCGTGGAGACATGGCTCCCTCCTCCCTGCCTCGGTTTGCTATTCATTCTACCTAAGTGATAAAAGGCACGTCCTGGCAACCAGGACGCCAACCACTGGCCAGAAACTGCAGCGCGGTCTCAGAGCTCTTCCCGTGCTGTCTCCTGCCTCATTTCCCCCGAGACATGGTGCTCAGAAATTCCTTCTCAGGTTGCTGAGGGTTGAAGGTCTGTCTTCCATAGCTGCTTCAGGCTTGGATGGGACAGTTGACCCTGCCTGCTGAGAACCACAAAACTCTTGCCCTGTCCTATCTGGGAGCTGGAGAAGAATGTCTGAGACCGCCGGGGATGCTGCACGTTGGTCAGAGGAGGTGCAGGGAAGTGACCCTTGGAAACATACCTGAGGGAGCAGATTCCCCTCCACTGTGGAGGGAGGGTGTGGTATGGCCGGGGCCCCCAGATCCAATAGATTCCTGTCGAATTCAGTATTTCTGCCATCAGAGCGATCTCTGCCGGCTTGACCTGCTGGGTTTCTACAGAGACGCATCTGCCTTTGACTAGCGGTTTGGTCCGTGGGTATTTAGTCCTCCACCACTGCAATCCTTGTGCTGCCAGCGAGGCTGCAGCCAGGGCGTCTATTATGGGACTGTGGAAATCTGGTTTATGTACAAATTCAGTAAAGAGAGCACCCCTCGTCATTCCTAAATGCACGGCAGCCTGAGAGCCGCGGTGCAGAGTGATGCAGTCCTCCTCTTCCTGTGGGAGGAATTCATTAACTGGGTAGGACGGCCTGCCTTGGCAGTAAGCTGTTCTTGGTGAGTTTTTGTCCAAAGGCAGGCCAGGGACAGCTGGCTTTGGAACGCGGGTGTGTATGAAGTTCGTTTTGTCCCGCGGGTTAGGAACGCCCCCAGAGATGTAGGGTGCTGTGCTGAGGGGAATTCCACGAGTGGTGTTTGTGAGCGGGGGCTCCGAGATGAGAAACTTTTGTCGGCACTGGCTGTCAGCAAGCCCTCCCACAGGCGAGCCTCCTGGAGCGTTACTGACGATGCAGAAGGGGTGGCTGACCTGTGGGTGGTTAACGACACAACACAGGCCCGCTAGGGGAGCGCTGACTGCTCGGGAGCAAGTCCTGGGCAGTAGCTTAGCAACGTTCTGAGTAGCTGTAATGCCCCATGGGCTGGAATATACAGTCTTTTCGTCCAGAGTAATGGAGACGGTTCCCCACTGTTCTGGTGCCAACGGCTGAAGATAAGCGAAAGGGGTTAAGGGGTAAAATAGAAAGCTACTTATCAGATGCAAGAGTAGTCCTGTGGAAAAGTCCTCATGCTGACGAGGTCCTTGCTGGCCCACAGTGTGGGTGGAGCTTGGACTCCTCTGCTGGTCTGGGGAGAGGTCTGCGTCAACACAGCCGGCTTCTCCCTGGGAATAAGAACCCAGCTATTGACCCCTACTAGTTTCACAGCCATGGGGTACTCAGGACCACCTGATAGGGTCCCTTCCATTTAGAGGTAAGTTCATCTGCTGGGGATCCTTCTCTCCAAGTTTTGAGATGCACCCAGTCTCCTGGAGACACAGGGGCCTGGAGCTCTCCTTTGAGAGACGGCAAGACTTTAGTGCGATATTCCTGCAATGCTTTTTGTACCTGCCCCAAGTTTATTATATGCCTCACAGCTCGATGGGTCTTGGCATCAAATACTAAATTCAGAGTTAGGAACGGTCTGCCATATAGCATTTCAAAAGGGCGGAGCCGAGTGTTAGCCTTAGGGGAGCCCCTGACTCTCGGGTGGGCTATGCGCAATAACTGAACCCATTCTCACGAGTCTCCTGACAGAGCATCGCTGATGCTCTTTTGAAACTCTGACTCGCCGGCTCTACCTTCCCAGAGGACTGGGGTCTCCAAGCAGAGAGGAGGGGATGTTTTATGCCCTAGGCCGCAGAGGCTGATTGAGTGATCCTGGAGATGAGGAAGGTCCGTTATCACTTTGCAGGGAGCGTGGGAGACTGAACCAGGCTATTATTTCTTGTAGGAAAGTCTTCACAGCTCCTGTGGCCTCTTCATCCTGGTCGGAAAGGCTTCAGCCCACCCAGCAAAGGTGTCTGTTAAACCTAGTAGACACTTGCATCCTTTACGGGGAGGCATCTTGGTAAAAGCAATCTGCTGGCCTTCCCCTGGACAGGTTCCCCTCCGCGGATAGGCTCACGCAGTGCGGGGAGGGATGGCTTTCACCCAGGGTTCTTGTAGGTGCAGACAGTGCAGGCTTGGCAAATATTCTCTACAGTAGTTGCTAGTGCCTGTAAACAATTTATTAACTAACGCTGTAGTAGCATCTCTTCCTATACGGAAGGAGTTGTGCAAGGCCTTTGAAACCTCCCACTGAGAGGCCTGGGGAAGGAGCGGTTTCTGGCCAATGTAAACCCAGGGACCTTCCTGACCGGCCCCTTGCTCGGCAGCCCAGGACTTGCCCTCTGATGTGCGGCCAGGCTTTGCGTCGGCGTCGTCTATGGACAGGAATGATGCTGACTCCACGACGGGCCTCGGGGCTGTCTTCCCAGCCGCTTGGTCTGCCTCGCCATTCCCTTTGGTAATAGGGGACATATCCTTCTGGTGACCCCTACAATGCACACTGCTACGTGTTCAGGGAGTCCAACTTCTAGCAGAGTTAACATTTCTTGTTTCTGCTTAATAGGGGGACTCCTTGCATTAGGGAATCGCCTTTCTTTCCACATGGCAATGTGAGCATGTAAAACAAGGCAGATGTATTTCGAATCTCCATAAATATTCACCCTTTTTCCTTGTCCTAGAATGAGAGCTTGGGTAAGAGCGATAATCTCTGCCTTTTGGGCTAAGTTCGAGGGTGGGAGAGGTTGTGCCTCAGCAGTGTCACAGGAACTAGCCACTGCATATCCCGTCTTTGGCTGCCCACTCTGCACAGAGCTGCCCCCGCCCGTGAACCACTGCTCACTGGGGCCACCAAGGGCTGGGCCAACAGATCAGCCCGGCTGGAAGAGGTGCGATCAGTCACCTCTGAGCAAGGTGAGCCAAGTCTGGAGGTGATCCTAGAGGCATTAAGGAGACTGGATTTAAGGTATCGCAAGTTTGTATGGTTACTTCAGGATTGTCCAGAAGGGCCTGATATCTGGTTCATCTATTTCCAGTGAATCAGAGATGCCCTTTCATTTCTAATCCACCTCGGACTTGATGTGGAGTTAGGACCTGTAACTTCTGTCCAAGCATCAGCTTTGCAGCCTCCTCGGTTAATGTGGCTGAGGCTGCAACCGCTCCAATGTATGGAGGCCTCCCGGTTGCTAGTGTCCGGCTTTCTAGAGACATACGCAACAGGTCGGGGTTCATTTCCCAGTCGTTGGACTGACACTCCGAACACTATTCCCTGCTTCTCCGCTATGTATAAAGTGCAAGGCTTGTTTAATTAAGTCAGGGATGCCCAGGGCTGGGGCCTCAACCAGGGCCTGCTTGATTTTATCAAAAGCCTGATCATGTTCCTTTCCCCATACAATGGGTGTGATGCCTGGCCCCTTGGTAGCCTCATACAAAGGCTTTGCAATTAGCCCCAAGCTTGGGATCCAAATCCTGCAGAACCCAGCCATTCCCAGGAAAGGGCGAAGCTGCCGCATAGTAGCAGCTGGTGCTGGCTCGGCGGTTGCCTTTATTCGCCCAGTGACAGCTGCCTAGATCCTGGAGTTGGGACATACCCTAACTAGTTTACTCTCTGTTTGGAAATTTGGGCCTTTTTCCTGGACACTCGCTATCCCCAGCCCCCAGGGAAGTACAGAGCGAGGGCACTGTTGTGCTCTGAGGCTTCCTTCGAGAGGCTACAAAGATACTGTCTGCATATTGTGAGATGGCTCCTTCTCGTAGCTGTAAACCTCTTAGGCCCTTTTCTAGTGCCCTCGTGAACAGACGGGCTGTCTCTAAACCCCTGTGGCGGCGCCAGGCAGGTGGGCTGTTGATGAGCCATTGTTTTTGGGTCTGTCCACTCACATGCCAACAGGTATCGGGAATGTGGGTGGACAGGGATGCAAAAGAAGGCATCTTTTCAGTCTAAGACAGTGCACCACGACTACAGGGTGGTCCCTGGGCAAGGACTGTATCAGCCCTGGCCACAAGGGGATGTAAGGGGACAGCACCTCCTTAATTACTCTTAAGTTCTGAACCAACCAGGACTCCCCCGTGGGCGTAAGGACAGGGAGCCGTGGAGCAGCGCCGGAGACTGGCCAGGGGCCAGCTGCCCGCATGTAGTGAATTTCTCCCTGATGGGCCCCTAACTTGAGGGGATATTGTTTCCTGTGGGGATAAGCTGCCCCAGGCTTCAGACAGACTTGGGCTGGTTGGGCTGTGCTGGCCCTTCCAGGCAGGAACCCCTGAGTCCCAAACTAGGGATCCACTCCTTGCAAAATCTGCTCTGGGATGTTATTTTCCTGCTTGTCTTCACAGGCCAACATAATCGTAAGGACCTTACCTGGGACCCCCTGACACTTCAGCAGAGCTCATCATCTGGCCAGCAGGTCTCACCCTAGCAATGGCATGGGGCACGGTGGCACAGTTAGGGAAGGGTGCTTAAAAACTTGGCTTTCAAACCGGCAAGTGATAGGGGGTGTGTAAAAACACGTCCTAGATTTTCCTTCGACTCCTGTGAGACTCAGGTTAGAGGAGAGAGGACCAGCGTATGAATTGAGGACAGAGTAAGTGGCCCCAGCATCAACAAGAAAATTAATTTTCTAATGTGCTGCATCAAGAGTCACCCGGGGTCTGCAGCAGAGATGGAGATGCTGGTGTAGGCTGCAGCCAACCTGCTCCCCAGGCACCCTCAGTCCTCAGGTGCCGCCATGGCCATAGGAGACGCCCCCCTTCTGCTCTGGGGATGGGGGCGGCCTGCCTCCCGGTGCCGGGGAACAGGGGCTGTCCCTCTGCACCTGGGGCATGGCCCTGGGGGTGGCCTAGTGCATTCTTTGGCCTAGTGCTCAGGGGGTTTGCACCTAAAGCACGTCAGATCCTTGTGCCCTCCACACCTTTGTGACTCTCCCGGGTTACCTTGAGGTGGCTGGCCACAGCCAATGTTGCCACTAACAGCCAGTGCAAGTAGCGTGGCCTGTCTTTTCTCTAAGTCTTGACAGATAAAGACTGAGAAGGCAATATTCATCGGTTGTGCCAAAGGGGTTCGGGGCCCCATGTGTAATTTCTGAAGCTTCTTATGGATATTAGGGGCTGCCTGGGTGCTGAAGTGTTGCCCTATTAACACCTGGCCCCCCAGAGAAGGTGGGTCTGTATTAGTGTGTTTCTGAAAGTCCTCTACCAGTCTGTTGTGGAAGAGGGCAGGGCTCTCTTCCTTTCCTTGTGTTAATCTCCTTGAATCTCATCATAAGTCACTAGACTTTGATACGGGCCCTCATTCCAGCCAATAAGCACTGTATCATGATGGGTCTACTTCTGTCCCTCCTGGTGCATTATGGTCCCAGTTGGGCGCATGGTCTGGGACGGCCTCAGCTGCAGGCCTTGCACTACCGGGGTCTCCAGTGTAACTGACCTGCATGTTTGCAGCCCTTCCCAATGAGCTGCTTTTCTTCTGGGGAGCAACATGCAGTCAGAACTACATAAAGGTCCCTCCAGGCCATGTCAAAGGCAAGGGTTAAGATAGGGAAGTTATAATGAAGCGTGAGGGGTCCTTGGAGAAGTTTCCTAGCCTTTCCTGGCACCGCTGCAGGTGAGCTACTGAGAAAGGTGCATGTACCCGAGTAGGGCCTTCTGCACCCCCTCCTTCTCTCAGGGGCAGGGAGATAAGAGGACGCCCCGTTGACTGGGTTTCTCCTTCTTTGGTCACTCTGGGTACACGGGTGTGGAGGGTGGAGGAGAAGTCGTAGCTGTCGACGCAGGGGTTGAGGTCTCTGGGCCCTGAGGCCTGCTAGGTTCCCCCCGAGGGACAGATGGGGAACTTCAAGGGGGTCATCTAGAATGTCATCGTCAACCTGGAACAGAGATGGAGCACGAGCTAACACAAAAAACGTCTGTACGTAGGGAAGCTCTGACCGCTTGCTCAGCCTCCGACACGATAGATGTCACTGGGATACGGTGCTGCAGTTGCTCCTCCCATTTCCAGGCCACGTCTCCCTTTCTCCCGCCTTATACTGAGGCCATGCTGTACTGCACAAGAAAATCAGTCCCACTTTCTTGAGATACTCAGGGTCAAACTTATCCCAGTTTCTAAGGGTGCATCCCAACGGGGACCCTGCGGGGACAGAGGGTGTATTTCCGATGTAGTCCGAGGTTACCTAAGAAAGAAAACAAAGACGAGAACTCCTGGGCTTGGAGAGACGTCCCCCATCTTTGCTCTAGGAGCCAATTCGTGGGGTGTAGGGCATCCACTGTTTCCCACCACAAAGCTACCAGACGTCTCTGGCAAGAGAAGAGGGGAGACCAGAACTCCTGGGCTCTCAAAAGGCATCCCCCTTGATTACCCAAGGAGCCGACTAGTGGTTCACAGGGCGCCCCGTCTCCCCACCGCAAAGCTCCCTGAGGTCTCCGGCGACGTGAAGAACAATGCGCTGGCCAGCGGAAGTCCAAGGGCTAAGCATGTCACCCTTGTTTGTATCCCTTTGCTACTGGTGAAGTCGACAACTTTAATCGAATGGGGCCTTTTCTGCAGATCTCAAGGCTTTTATAAGTTTGGCCCCTCGCCACTGAGGAGTCGGAGAGAGGATGGCACTAGCCATTTGGTATATTTCCTGCAAACACTGGAGGCCCATACAATACTGTTCAGTCCAGTAAAAGAGGTCCCTACTGTGGCAAAATATTTGCCACCTATGTGGTACTGGGTCGCTTCGTTCTCGGGTGTCTATTGGATTAAAACACAGAAGGTGCCTAAGGAGGGAAGGCAAGTCCATCTCTGTAAAAATACCAGGGGGGTGGGGGTGAGTGTGCTGGTAAGTAGGCTGAGAACAAAGGCCCAGGCCTCAGGCAGCAGCTCGCCTGAAAAACAGCCCCACAGAAAAGGGGAAAACACCGTAAGCTGCGGTTTCTCAGCATCCCGAAAACCCTGGGTGCCAGGCGCTAGTGGCAGGACCGCCCTTAGAGTGCCCAACCCTCCCCTCTCCGCCCCCCGCCCCGCCAATGCAGACGCTGGAGGAAAAGCGGCAGAGATATTAGGCTCCGGGCTCGGGCTGCAGGCGCAGCCGAAAAACGCCTAAGTTTAAAAGTGTCACTTTTTTCCACAGTGACTGGAGGGGCAGGGGCCCTGCTGTTTTTCTGAGTACCCAGCTAATTACACTACTGTTCCCAGCACCTAGTAGCTCCTAGGTCTAGAAGTTACAGTGCTTCAAAGACTTATCTCTTTGTTTTTCTAGAGTTTTACAGTCTAGGAGGAGGTGAGATTTTCCCTCTTTGTATCCTTGTCCCCAGTTAATGTGGGCATAGCAGGAGCCACGCCTTTTTTTACGCTGAAGTTGTATGCAGGGCTTGGGTTAGGCAGTGAGAAACAGTGTCACCTCCTGCTGGACAATCACAATCAAGGGTATGGTCCCAGGGGATTAAATGGCTGCTCAGCTGGAAAACAAACACAGCCATTCTTTGTAAAGCAGATGGACGTGGCAGTGGTAGAGATGTACAGGAAGCAGTCAGAGAAAGGAGGGAAAGACTTAGGCGTGAGGCAAGTTTGATTGAAAACGCCTAGTTAGAGGACCAGGGCCTCAAAAAGCCAGGACTTTCTACTAGAGGCTGAAATCTTGCTTTCTCCTTCCGAGGACTAAACCTAAGCGGGGCCTGTGCCACAGGGATGGAACTTAGTGCTTTTACAATGTGCCTCTCGTGTGGACTTCTGGTGGGAAACCTAGCGTTCTGTCCTGGTCTGCATCCCAGCTTATCACCTCTGGGGTGTCTTTGTTGCAGCAAGTGCACTTGTGGCTTTTAAATGCTTGACCTGCAGGGTACCTGCGGGGTGTGGCAATTTCTTGAGGGGGAGAAAGCAAGACAGTTCCGCAACCTTGCCCCCTCTGTACAGCTCCGGCAGGGGGTATGTGGATGCAAACTGAGTTGCTAGAAGCCACCTGGGGTAGAGAGAGATGCTGCAAGCTTACAACAGGCCAATGATTGCAACTGACTATTCTCTGCCCGAGTTGGAGGCAGAAAAGACTAAGGAGTCCAAGTAGTGGGTCAAAGTGTGCTGTTCGTGAGTAGGGCTCCCAAAGGCCGTTACCCCTTCGGTCACCCCTAACTCCCTTACGTGTCTCGGTTTCTCCCCTGACTGTCTAAAACAGCCTGGGGGCTCGGAGGCCTGGGTGACCTGCCCTTATTTTGCACATCCCCAGACAAGCCAAAGTTACATTACAGTGACGGGAGTTCCCTTTGAGACCCCTGCACGTCTTAGGGACTGACCCCAGACACCACCACATGGCCCCCACTCACAGAGGGAAGCCTGAGAACTCGGACCACTCAGGCCAGAGGGAGGAAGTGCCTCTTTAGTCTTAGAAGCCCAGGCAGAACCCAAGCACTCATTTCAGATTTCATTGTTTCTACCTCCAAATGAAGGTTTAGCATGTTTGAATGCCCCACCCCGACAGTGCAGCATTTCCTTTATCCCAAACGTGAGAATGGCAGGACCACCGCGCTGGTGAGACCATACTCACTGCGTCCCAAACGTTCCCAACGGCTGGAGACAAAGGGCGGGACCCAAGTCTCGGTCCAGGGTTTCAGCACCAATTCTGTTGACAGGAGAGACCCGGTTCTTCTTAGTGATGCATGTAGAGAGAGAATTACAGGTCAGCAAATCTATTAGCGTGCAATCAGAGTTTATTAGTGACCCGATCCCATGGAAGAGAACAGGCCTAGCTAGGGTGGGGGGGGGCGGGGCCGTCAAAAGCACAGGTTCAGGGCCAAGCAGGGCAGCAAAAGTACGGGCAGGTGAAGGTCAGGTGGCCAGAGAGCGAGTCCTTTGTTCTGAGGACCTACAGAGCTGGCAGGATAGGAGTAAAAAAGTTTCGTACTGACTGAGGGGTCTATGTGGTGCCAGCTTTCTCCAGGAGCGGGTGAGTCACTAACTAAACTTAGGTATGTGTTGGGGCGGGGGTCTGTTAGCCTGAGTCCTTATCTTGCTCCAGACCCCATTTGTTCACCTTGTGGTAAAACAGACACGTGACAGGAGGCTATTAATTAAAGTTGGGGCAGTTACTCAAAGTTATTTTCGGGCTCTTCTTTGGGCACTGTGGACCCTATCCCGTATTTCAGATGGTGGGATGAAAACACAGTTTTAAGGCTATCTTTCCCAGATAGTGGGAACACTACCTAAAATTTCAAGGACTGCCCTCCTTCCTGCCAACACAGTGTCTTGTGATGTTGGAACACCTGGCAATATTATTGGACCAGGATTGAGCCTGGCTGAGTTAGAGATCTGACAGGATGTCTCTCCTACTCCCTGCCTTGGTTTACTATTCATTCTATGTAAGTGATAAAGCTTCCTCGGACACCACCGCCCCACCGCGCCCCTCCTCAGATCCCTCCCCCAACCCCGCTAGCCACCGCAGGGCTCCGCTCAAGCCCCGGCCTGGCAAAGCCACACCGCCAGCTTACCCCTCGTCACCATCTAGCGAGAGAACGTGTGTGGCACACAAGGAAGAGTGAAAAGAGAACGCCAGCTCCACGCCCGGCCCGGGCCGCCGCGCGCTCCACTGCTGTGGGCGAGAAAGCCGCGCCGTCCACTGCGCAGGGTCTGGAAAAAGTCCTTCAGGGCGCGTGGAGCGACCACACCACAACTGCCAGACGACCCACTCTCCGCCCTGGATCAACCCGCCCCGGCCGCCCGGCAACAGCCTCCCAGCGCCTGTCTTTTTTCCCGGGGCGAAGTCAAATTGCCCACCTCGTTCCCAGGCCCACCGCACCGCGCCTGCGCACAGCTCCCGGGGGCGGGGTAGGAGGAGGGGCTATCAGTGCGCAGGCTCCGCCCAAGGCTGGGGTCTCCCGGCACGTGCTGAACCCCGCGGCTGAAGCGGGCTGGCTCGCGCGCGCGTCTCTGCCGCACGGACTTCTGTCCCAGCGGGAGCGAAGACGCCGAGGCTCTGGGTCTGAAGCGCGACCAGCCGGAAGTTGCTCGGCTTGATCACGCCCCCTCCCCCCCTCCTCCGGCCTGGCGGAAGCTCAAGCCCGGGAGACAGGTTCCGGGGTTGTCCTGGACTGGCGGCGGCCGAATGGAGACCGAGACTGAGGACGGGCGATCGACCCGCCGCCCGACGCTCGCCTCCTCCTGGGATGCCACATGCGGGGCCCTGCACCGGAGCCTCCTTGTCACCGGAGCTGGTCTCGGCGCCCGGGACTTGGACTGGGATGAGCTGCTGGCGCCGGCTGCCCCAGGGTGCGCCTGGCCTGCGGGGACGGGGTTGCTGCTCCGTGACAGCCAGGCTCCTGGGGGAGTTGGGAGGGGAGGCGAGGGCCGTGAGGGCAGAGGGTCTGGGCCCGGGATCCGGGAGCAGAGCTGGTGAGCGGTCAGTGCTGGGAGCCAGGGCCGGCGTGGGCGAGAGGCAGGGCCCCGGGTGGCGGGCGGGCGGGGACGGCTGCGTGGCGCGCGTGCCGGGCGCAGGGCGTTGGGGGCGGGTGACCGGGAAAGTCTCACGCGTCTACGGTCCTTCAGGTCGGCCCTGGACGGCACCTGTCACAGCCGTAATCCGCCTTGATCCCCAAGTAAACAGAAAGCTCCTGCCCACCTCCTGTCAACCAAAAGAGGCGTAAAAAAGAATGCCAACAGTCGGGAATCTCCGTCCTGTTACTTTGGAAAAAATACACGCTGTCTTTTATCGTATTGTGCTTCCCACTGTTAAGCACAGAAGTGGTGGCCAGCGAGCTTTAAACTGAATGAGAAGCAATTGCAGGGGATTGAGTATGATGTCGATGATCAAGGGGAAAACGTAGGGGGAAGCCCGCGTGTCCCAAGTATCCGTTTCTTGATGAATTTGTATTGAGCGTTTGCGGGGGGCTTGGGGAGGTGCGTGAACCCCAGAGGCAAATGGAAGTGACTGCAAGAAGTACTGAGGGCTTAGCAAGTAGGTAAATAACAGTGCTCGGAGAACTAGGCTGCATAATAGTCTGAACGTTCTTTGCAGGCAGGATGTGGTGATTTTGCAGAGGAGCCTGAACAGCCAAGAGGAAAGCCCCTGCTTCCTTTACCTGCGAGGTGACCCTGAGGGAGGTGAAGAAATCGTGTGTGTTGGCATTTTAAGTTCGGCGAGAAATATGGAAGTGTACTTAGGGGAGGAGTACTGCGGCACCAGTCGGGGCAAGGCTGTTTGTAGTGTTCGGGAGAACAGGTGCGTGCCTCGTGCCTGTGCGAGTGTTCTTCCGAAGCAGTGTTTTTATTCTCCTCACCTTTTGCAGGACGTATTGATTCTCTCACATTGGTGCCAGACGTTAGTGGGGAGAAGATAAGGCATACCAGCAGGACTAGGAGTTTAGACCTTTGCGCATCTTAAAGATGGTCTAGATCAGCCTAGTTGTTTTTAGAAATGTGGATATTGAGAGCTAGTAAAATGGAAATAAATGGGTAGAAGGTCAGAGCTAGTCAGTGGAAGAGTTTTCTTCTGTTTCTTTGAACTCTCACGGATGTTTTCCAAGAGTTAATTTGTCAATTAGCTTGGAACTTTGAACATATTTTCTTATAGGATGCCCTCTAAAAGTAGTGCATGAGCCCTGGCTGGTGTCGCTCAGTAGACTGAGTATCGGGCTGTGAAGAGATTGGGTATCCGTGGGTTCCTTTCCCAGCCAGGGCCCGCGCCTGGGTAGCCGGCCAGGTCCCCAGTAGGGGGATGTGCAAGCGGCAATCACACATTGAATTCTCTCCCTCTCTTTCTCCTTCCCCTCCCCTCTCCCTAAAAATAAACAGGTAAAAAATAAAATAAAAGTACTGCATGAGCCCCACATTATGCCATACTAGCATATTTAACCCTTTATTATATGTTTTGATTTCTTTCTGACTTCTTATTAATGATTCTGTCTTAATCTTTCTTTTATATAACTCAAAATATGAACTGTTTTATATATCGTGTATGTTGGAAGTAGTAGATATGTTAATGGAGCTTTAAAATATTCTCTGTGCCACATGATCACATATTTGTTAATCAGATTTCATTCTTAAATATCACTCGTAAGTGGCAGATGTAGTCTGTATACTCTGTGCAATTTAGTAGGAAGCTATAGACCATTGTTTCTCACTGGGAAAATGGAATCTTAGGAAAAGTATTGTCTTGGAAACTTTTGTTTTTAAATGTGACAATAAAAAGTGATAATGTACGAAAGTAAAAAAAAGTCAATTTTTTTTATTTTTAGTGAACATGGAGAGATTACTTTGTACAAAAAATACCTAAAATTGGAGTCCTCCACACATGCTTGTAAAATAAAGGTAAGTCACTACTAAATTTTAACTAAGTCGAAAACTACAGTTGTTCTTGTGCTATGTATATTTATTTTATGTTGGGTTAGTAATGCAATTAGTCTGCCTCAGTTTAGAAGGACAAATTCTGCACTAAACAAGAAAAAGACAATTGTTTTCTAAAACATTTTTTTAAAGATTCTCCTTTTCAAATTTGACCATTTATTAGCTATGGTAATGTCATGCACTACTGTTAATACAGTACCATTGTACTCATAAGCCTTGGAAAACTAAGTTTAAAACTTTTTTTTAAAAAGATTTTATTTATTTATTTTTAGAGAGGTGAAAGGAGGGAGAAAGGGAAGCATCAATGTGCAGTTGCCTTTCACGCGCCCCCTGCTGCGGACCTGGCCATAACCTGGGCATGTAACCTGACTGGGAATCGAACTGACAGACCTTTGGTTCACAAGCTGGCACTCAGTCCACTGAGCCACACTGGCCAGGGCAAAACATTTTTTATATTTATATAAAACTTAGGCACCAGGAAAATCACAGCAGTTTCATTCCCAAAATATGGAGGAAAAAACACAATTAGAGAAGTTTCAGACAAGGGAAACTCAAAGAGATTTGTGCTGGTGTCTTCAACATTAAAAATATTGATAATGAACTTTAATAATGTCATCAGAGTCTCAGGAAAGGGTACTGAACTGGGAATCCTAAGCCCTGACTGTTAAATGAGCTGTGTTGCTGATTAACAGAATAGCCTACAGCAAGTTTTTCACTTATTTGGACCAACCTGACTGATAATATTAGGAAGCTGAAGAAAATAAATCCTTGGATTATTTTTATCTCTGTAGTTCGGTGCTTATTACTTAAAGAAGATCATAAAACAGATTATTCCAAGATGCTGTTTTAGAGGTATATATGTATTAACATCTTCTAAAGTCATTTAAATAAAGTGATTCATTCATGCAAAAAATATTTGAGTGCCTGTTGATGCCAGCTACCATATTAGGCACTTAGGAATTAGCGGTGATAAAATAAATTGGAATACAGCCCTCATGTTAATATTATAGCAGGCAAGACATAAGTAGATTAAATATACAAAATATGTATTTTATTTGATAGTGAGAAAGTTTTGGAGATTAAAAAAAGCAGAAAAGAGTCCTGGCTGGTGTGGCTCAGTGGGTTGGGTACTGGCCTGTGAACTGAAAGGTCACCAGTTCAGTTCCTAGTCAGGACACATGCCTGGGTTGTGGGCCAGGTCCCCAGTTGGGGGCATGCGAGAGGAGACTGACTGATTGATGTTTCTCTTGCCCATTGACATCCCTCTCCCTTTCTTTCTTTTTCCCTTCCTCTTTCTCTAAACATAAAAATACGTTGTTGTTTTTTTTTTCTTTTTTTAAAGAAAAGGGATACTGTCGAAGCTGGAATATGAGTGTGTAAGTTTAGAGAGGTGTCTCCTTAATTGATTATGGTCACATTTTTGGTACCACTGAGCTTTTAGATCATGGATCTGTATTCACCTGTGTCTTTGTGTGACATATGGGTTTGTGTGTCTCTAAAGGTGAGTGTTTTTGTAAGTATCCTGTGGAAGTACATGGGAGCGCAAACAGTTGTTTCACTTAGGGAGATCTTTGGTGTGTATGAAGGTTTCTTCTGCAGCGATAGTGCAGTAATGTTAAAAACGATAGTGATACATATTTTTGAGCACTTACTCTGTGGTAGATCCTACAAATTTTAACACTGATCATCATAACAACCACATGAAATTATTTTGCTCCTGATTCAAGTTTTGGCATTTGCCCTGAATATCACACACACGCACACACACACAGAGGCAGAGTAGCAGGGTCCTCACTGACCTCAGGTCTGTCTGATTCTAAATCCTGTGCCCTCTCCACTCAGCTACTTTGTTGCCCCACACCACACATGAACCGTTTTCTGGTTTAAAGCATGAGCAAAGTGAGGCAGCATAAAGTACTGTACAAACTACTGGGACAGAGACCAGAGAACTGGGGTCACGGTTCACCCTTCATTAATTGGGTGTCCTTTAATAACTTAGAAAAAAAAATCACCCTAAACTCATGACATTCCTTTATAGTTCTAAATTCTAAAATACTGACTTTTATAGTCAGTAATTCAGCCAACCCTGCATGAGCTCTGGACAGACTTGTTTAAATAGTATTGTGGGAAGTTGCAGTATATAAAGCTGTCAGATTGGTGTGGTTTATCTTTAATTCCTTATCTAAGTATTTAAAATGTTACTTTACATGTAATCTTTTTGTTTGAAAAGGACTTG